AATTAAATATTTTTTAATATTAATATGACGTAGATAATATTAATTGAATAATTAATAAATTTAAAATTAATTTTTATTTTTATATAAATTAATTATAAAAAATAGAATTAATACATTATTAATTTAAGACACATGTTGAAAACAGTTTAAAATATATTCTTTCTATCACTATTACTATTATGAATTTTTTTACTTTGAATTATATAACAAAAAATAATTTTCTCTTATCTCTTAATTTATTATACATCAGTGTTTTGAAAATTGATCCGGAGGTCAAATTATTTTCACCTTTGGGTCTCGGTTTGACTAGTTTAATTAGGTAAATTGTGGAAACCGTTGATTCAATTAGATATCAATAAATATAATGTTGTACAACATTTAACAAACACCTTCCAATAGTTCCAGTGGTGTGTTGTCTTCTTTCTTAAGAAGAGAATGGAGGCTCGAGCCCAAGCGTTAATTTTGATTAATAAGTTTATAAATGTCAATTTTTATAATTTTTATATAAATTAATTTATAAATTGACATTTCTATAAATAATTTTAATTTACATAATCAAAGTTAATATTTATATTTTTTATATAATTTAATTACAACAAAGATATAATAATGCATCCTTAGGGCGCAAAAACAACCAAAAGGTTAGTCCCTAAACTGGTCCCTCAATTATCGTACAGGCTTTCGAATTGGTCTCTAAATTAAAAAATTTATGATTTAGTCCATAAAATTTTTAAATTTGAGCTCTTGAATTGGTCCCTAAACTAAAAAAATTTATGATTTAGTCCTTAAAGTTTCGAAATTTAGCTTCAAGTTGGTTCCTTGGTTAAACAATAATTGATATGTCCCATTATTAATATAATGTGTGGCTCATAAGTAACAATTTTCTACCATTAAGCAATGGACACATTAGTTATTTTTTAATGAAAAGATTAACTTGGAGTTAAATTTGAAAATTTCAAGGAACAAATCACAAATTTTTTAACTGAGAGACCAACTCAAAGTCCATACAATAATTGAAGGATCAAATTAGGAGTTTAACCTAAATGAAATCCAGTGCTATTCCATCCCAAAATAACTTGGGTTTAAAGAATATATAGATTTTTTTATTTTATACCTTTAAAGATATATTTATTGTATCATTTTATTATCAATATAAATGAAGAAAAAATTGATGTCAATTTAGCTAATGGTTTAATTAAAAATATTCACATGATATAAATATTGAAATTAATGCTAACTTTTTTTATTTTCCTAAATTGAGATTATTTTCCTTTGTATCAATTTTTTAAACCCGAACCGGAGGTCAAACCGTTTTGATCTCCGATTCATGGTTTAAACGGTTTAACCGGTTTAATCGATAAAACCATTGCGTTGATTAAACTACTATAAATATATTATTCTGCATGATATTTCACAAGGTATTGGTTGAGTGCAGTGGTAAGTGGTTGATCTCTTATTTAAAAGATCACAAGTTCAAGCCCTTTGGAGAAAAAATTTTAATATAATTGTGGTTTTAAACATAAAATAAATATATTGTCAAGCAAGAAATAACAAATAGAAGGTTGTGTCTCAAGTGGAGAAGCCTTTGTTCTACATCATATAGAATGGGTGTTCGAATCTATGGTTGTTATCAATAATTTAGTTAAAACCTTTGAGATTACTATTTGATAAATCTCTAAATTTTAATATAATTCTGATTTTAAACATAAAATAAATATATTGTCAAGCAAAAAATAGCAAATAAAAGGTTGTGTCTCAAGTGGAGGAGCCTTTGTTCTACATCATAGAGAATGTGTGTTCAAATTCATGTTATCAATAATTTAATTAAAAGTTTTGAGATTACTATTTGATAAATAAAATTCCAAACATCAATTAACACAAGAAGTGCATCTGAGATTACTATTTGATAAATAAAATTCCAAACATCAATTAACACAAGAAGTGCATCTGAGATTACTATTTGATAAATAAAATTCCAAACATCGATTAACACAAGAAGTGCATCGTCCTAGTGGTAAAGAGCTCTCAGGGGAAACAAATTTCTCAAGATTTTATGCACAAGCATTGAACCGTTTGGTCAAATGATTTATTGGTTTGAGTGGTTTCAATGATTTTTATTAAGTTCAAGCAGTTTAACCGTTCAAATAGTTTAAAGAGTGCACCTGAACCATTTATACCACCGGATGTCGGTCCAATCAATCGATCCAGTCTGATTTTAAAAACATTGCTCTATATTTATTGCGAGCAGCACATTATTTTGCTTCCAATAGTGTGATAAAAGATAATCCACCCATTGACAAATTTTTACACTTTATTTCAAAATAATT